GCTGGTTCCCCACAGAAACAACCCAGCCGTGGGGGGATACGACGGAAGGAGGTGGCGGGGGGGAATAGGGCGCCTCCTCCCCCCACCCCTCTCCTACCTCCAATCCCCGATGGACCACCCCGGTCCCATTGCTGGTTCCCCACAGAAACACACTAGCACACAAGTTAGCAAGTCAACCCTCGCACAAGATTCAAGGATTGACGAGTCAAAGATACACTCGTCACACAATGAAAGTCCGCAAACATACGCACGTCATACCAACTCTGGAAGTCAAGAGATGGCACTCTCACTAGGAAAAATCAAGCAAAACCCACAGCTTACACATTTGACACGCCTCACCCAGAAGTCAACGAGGCTGAAAGTCACACTGAAAGTCAATGAGTCACTCGCTCAAACAGAAAAAAGCAGAAGCACAACTTGACTTGGGGAGAACCGAAAGAAACTCATTCAGATTCAAAGGTGAACCAATCATGATGGGTACAAACCGGCGTCCCAAGTTCTCCCAACCCGGGTAACCCCCAAACTGTGTCGCACTCCGTTTACAATTGAAGGAAAAAAAAGGAAATCACCTCGGCAATTTCTGATCAAATTAGACGGGCACATTGCGCTAAAAAGGGCATATTCACACTAGGCGCTAATTTCCTACATGCATCTGTTTCCAAATAAGGCTGGGTAAAGATGCGTCTGACGGTAATCGATTCGAGAGCTGAATGGAACGCTCATTGCCTTCACCCGAATAAAACGGCTGCACATGAACGCGGTACCTGGAATGAAAATTGCACCAAATACAGATAAAATGACCTGGGCCTTTTAACAAATACAGATATACTGACCTGGGCCAGCGTTCTCTTCCTGGTGACGACGGTAGTGCGGGTATGCCCTTTGCTTTCTGCGGTACCAGGTTCCTCCGAACACAACACACCCTTATTTTCGTTGCATCTCACCAGAAATATAGCTTGTATACGGTGTACCTTCATCATCAGGGTGCGTTATGTTCGGGGGAAAACGGTCGTCCTGCTATTCCCCGGTTTAGCACGCTCTTTATTCTCTTTCGCCTGGTCGTGACTAATCAACTCCTAAACATTAAAAAAAACAGAATCTGTGCAGCGTTCATGTGCCCCGTCATAGCCACAGGCGTGTCCGACCGGCTTCTCCACACTATGAGCACCTGCGCATGACTGGAAATGCGTTGACTTAAAGAAAAAGACGTCATAGCCACAAGCGTGTCCGACCGGCTTCTCCACACAATGAGCACCTGCGCATGACTGGAGAAAAGACCTTCCCTCCGCCTCATCAGATTCGGGTCTCACTGCAACACGACCTCTCCCATATTTCTCAATCACCACGAACCCCAAAGAAACTTACTTACTTGAACATCTCGTTACATCCGCTCGAAGAGCGTCTCGGCTGATTATGCCCTTTCCGATACCACTCTCTTTCCCCGTCTCAAGATTATCCCGACTAGTTGACCCCTTCCAAATTTTACCACTTTCATTTTGACCCCTCCTAAAACCCCTCTTCGCCCGCTTACAGCGACTCGAATAACTGGCAACTTCCGATACACTAGGTCAGAATCAATACACGCCACGAACATCCAATTCCTATGACAGATACGCCCTCTTCGACTTTACTATTMTTCTTTTGAAACATCCGTGGGGCCCCTGCTGCTGGAGGTAATCCGTAACGCCTGCAACAGTACGTTCCTCCTCTGTGATGGATCCAATCAATTGGACGAAATGCGCACCTGCACGTAATCTAAAGTWAGCGCTCTTTCGCTCAYTTATGTGGCGATGATCAGGTCTGCTCACTCTTTCCTTTCCTCCACCTTYACACAACGTCGACACTGGCCGGCATTCATGTGTAGAGAGCCTTCTTCCTCTGCCGCTCGACTGTGTCGAAGAGACGAAATCAGACGCACAAGAAGGCGTCGAGTCCAATGGCGGGCATTGGCATTCACGTTTACAGCACCTTCTTCCTCTGCCTCTCGACTGTGTAGAAGAGACTGCCGTCAAGAACTCCGCGGATGGCGTCCTTGGAGATGATCCCGTCCTTGGCCGCCAGCAGATAAGTGATTCCCCACTCGAGCTTCGCTGCCACCCATCCGAACGGATCCACTGCGTCGCGGAAGGCCTCGGTCATTTCCATCATCTCCCAGAATGTGAGCCCTCCCCTTCGGTCTTTGTCGAACTTGGAGAAAATTTCTTCAAATTTCTGGACCTGGAACCTCCCCTCTGTGTCGTAGGCTTTTGAGTCACTTCCGTGCTTCGCTTTGTGGATGTTGCGTATCTTGATGACGAAGAGCGGCGATGGCAGGAACCCGTCGACCGTCATGTAACTCATCGCTCCGTTRATGACGAAAGCGCCGAGAAGGGCTATCAGAGGATTAAACCCAAGGGCTCGGAACCCCGAATACGTCTCCCACGGGTAAATGAGYCCGTCCCTGTTCCGATCGAAAAAGGCCACGTGCTGCTGCATGACGCTCAGGTGCCGGTGATCGTAGCCAGGAGTGCCTGTCGGGGTCTCGATCGTTACCGCCGCCAGTGCACGTGGCAGATRAGGCTTATCCACATATTTGTCCAGATCGGCTGGCACAGGCCGCTGCAAAGTCGCCGGACATGCTGACGTGGACGTCCGCATGTGCGCGTCCTCCATCTGACTGTCCTTCCTCCGACCCGAGCTTCAACTCTCTGTCTCTCTCTCTCTCTCTCTCTCTCTCTTGGACACTGGCTCTTGCACTCCGTCCAGATGAAAGCACTAACCACGGACGTATTGATGAGCGCAAAACGCAGAGGGATCCCGGTGACCACGAATGGCAGCTGAAGACTACTGCCTCCAGCCCCGAACCCCTGTCACTACTTTCCCAACTCCTAGTACGCACTTGCCCTATATAGCGTAGTGCAGCCTGAGATGCAGAGTGCCTTATTTTTCTCCGCCCTACCGTAAGCCCCTGCCTCAGTTCCTCCGCGCCGAGCCTCCACGACTGGTCGGACTTGGTCAAACGCTGCCGTGGCTCCGGACTGACCAACGTGCTTCCGTTTCTCCACGCTGAGCCATCAACTGGCCAACTGGTCAGACGCTGCTGAACTGTTTGCTACGCGAATCGACCCCTGGCAGGCAGCACTAGCGCGAACACAAAACAATCAAAACATTCCAGAAAAAGATATGATAGAAACCCAAAAGAGAAAAAGGGAAAAAAAATAGAAACGGCTTTTGTCCTTTTCTTTTCCTCTTTCAGCATCTTTCAAATTCTTTCAATTCGCCTTCACTAGCTACCTATCACGACTCCTAAGGCTTATACACGGGACCCCTACGAACACAGCTTTGTGGTCTCCCTCCAGCCATCGGAGGGGATGCATGTTGCCCCCCCACCCAACCGTGGTGCTCAAGGATGGGACAGGCCGGTGGTGGGGGTCCGGGTAACGCAAAGACCGAGCATTTTGCCAGTAACTGCACCTCCCTTTTCATCGTCCCTCACCCCCAACTGAATAACAGCAGTGTCTAAGGCCAAGACTCTCCCAAACACCACATCCAACCCACTCACACCCACAATCACACCCGTGTTGGACAAGGACCCTACTAATACCGGTCAGAGGTATCAAGCAGACTATTACCAGCTTAGGGTGATGCACAGGTCCAAACCAGATAAAATAGGAAAAACACAAGCCACTGATGATAGGGTCATAGAGTTTGGGCCGCAGGCCCAGACTCCATGGGAATCATGACTGGTGGGCGGGACCGCTTCGCCAAAATCGGTGAGTGAAAACGAGCTCTCTTCCAAGCAAGTGGCTGATGACTTGGTGTGACTGTGATGTGACGAACCACTTTCTGTAATGCGCGATTTTCTGCGCGGTTGCAATGAGGGGTCCTAAGCTGGGAAGATTGGGCCAATTAAAGGAGATCGGGATCGGTGGAGAATTGCATCATTGTCCTCGCTTTTTCGTCCTTTTTCGCCGTTTCCTTTTCGAATGGCTGGACACGGGGTCAGGTGTGTCTTGGGACGGCCAGTTGATTGATTGGTCGGATGGTTGTCTGGCGCGACGCCACGCCCGTGTGCAATTAATAAATGTTGACGTCATTTCTTTCGTTTCGGTTTCAATCTTTTGGGCACGGACATGGCGCGGGAAATTGCTTAGTTCTTTTGAATTTTTCCTTTTAGTCTTTTTTCGAATTTTGTCGAGCCCCCCCCCTCTCCCGATGGCTCTCGGAATTTTGGACTTTCCTTCTGGAATTTATGCTTTTTGCTTTCTCGCATTAGATAGGAATTTAGGAATTTAGTAATTAGGACTTTTTCTGTCGCGCGGCGCCTTTTGTCTACGCGCTTCTTCATGCGGCTGCAACGGTACTCTGATTAGTGGGCGCCCTTAATCGTGTGTGTAACTGTAATTTTGGGCGGGCGCCATTGTAACTGTATCTTTCTTCTTGCACTTCGTCTCTCCCGCCCTCCCTCTCTTTCTTTTGCTGAAATTTTCGTAGGCCGCGGCTTGCATGCTCGGATCGATGCGTGCAGAAGGGTTACCTCCCCCACGCCGCGGCCTGATCATGCAAAATGCACGCGCTCCCTCCCTAATCTTCATTCTAAGTCTTTGCAATTCCGTGATCTTCGCGCATGCATGCACGCTATAAATTTCGGTTGCGCGATTAGTCAGCTCTCTTAACCAGTTGTTGGAAGCTCGGGGTTGCGCGATCAGGAAGGGTCGGCACACGAGCGAAGTAAGAGGTGAGTAGAGTAGGAGTTGGGCGACCCGACGCGCTGGTGCCGAACGCGCGGGATTGACGTGGGCCACGACGGACTGTGGGCACGGGCGAATTCGACGGGTGCGGGAGGACTAAGCGGGATGACAACTTCGTGGGTTGGTGCGTGACGACGAACTGTCCGCATCGGAGGAGAAAGAGAGAGAAGGAGAGAGTTGAAGTCGATGGACGCAGATTTGCTGTTTCTTTGTATCTTCCCCCTCTTCATCTGTGTACATACATTTTGATTGCGGCTCCGCGCGGTTTTGCCCGTTCTTATTTTCGTTTCGGCTTTCTGAAATCTGGGCTTGGGTTTTTGCTCACACTTGTCTTTGCTCGCATCATGTGTGTGATTATCGAATGTATGGATGTGTAGACGTTATGCGTGCTTGTCTATCTTTTTGCTGAGAATCCCTGTCCTTGCTTTTTGTTTGTGTCGAATCTTTGCCCACACCTGAGGCAGTTCTACATGGGATAGTAATCTGGCCCCGATAGTGATTTGTTCTCATTTTTGCTTATCTCACGGTGAGGGTTGTGATAGGGTTGCATCTTGCATAATCGAAACTTCCGAAGCTATTAGACAATCCGAAGTTTGGTCCCGCGAACGCCGCGCGAGAACACGTGTAGACGCGATCTGAGTCGAGCCCTTACACGCGTTCCTGTGCGTCGATTCGCTCACCCAAAAAGACTCGCGGCAGAACCGTCATCCCGTACGAGCACACCGCACGTGCTTGTGCGCGGTAACGATATCTCGACCCGAGCTATCCCATCGACGATGGTACCATGACGAGATCTTGGAGCTCAGATTCATCCTACGATCCGGACTATTTCACCCCTTTGATAAACGAGCTCATAAGAACACGATACCCTTGTCACACGGAGAATTGTCCGCGGAAGTTCCACTGCGCCACCTCTAGCGACCCTCGTAGCTCTGATTTCCCTTCCCTCGACCACACCTACTGCTTCACCCACCCGGGATTTATTGTCATCACCACCAGTTTCCCTCGTTTCCGCCTTCTTCTCCCGTATCATCAACTTAACATCGTTCTGTGGCCGGCCATAGCCCCCTATTGGCCCAATACGTTTTGTGTAAACTGCCGACGTAGCGGCGAACAGAGAACTCTTGAATTCCGAAGGCCCAACCCAGGTACGCGGCGACCTGCGCCACGTAGCGACCCACGACGGCCTAACTTTTCGGGACTGCCTCCACCGCGGAGGGATTTCCCCGTAAATCGTCGCCCACAGTGCCCCGGCCCCATCAGACCTTGAGTCCCTTGCGCACGCGCCCCTTATTCGCCTAATTGTATTCATACCCTTTAGACTCCCCCACTTTCCCAAAAATCCGTGGCACACCCCTTTTCGCACTTCCAAGCCCATACCCCACTCCGATCAGGAAGTCGCGCTGGGCGTGAGGTTGGTATTGGAGCCCGACACATGGCTAGGGTCTTAGGATTGATAGCACGTTAATTAGGCGACCTGGCTAACCGTGGGCGACCTCGCCCTCGGAACGCGCATAGACGCGACCCTATCGTCACCAGAAGCAGATCGGCTGACCGACGAGCAGCCAATATGGCTGCCAATGTGCAAAATCCGGTTCCACAACAAAATACGAATCCACCTAATCAACCTGCCCCACGTGCACGAGCTCCCATGTCGCCACCAGATTTCTATCTATTTGATCCGGCGCACCATCTCGCAGGAGCATGGCTGGCCACGCTTAGAGCACAACAGTACGATGATCACGAAGCCCAGATCAACCTTCCGGCTCGAATGGGAGGAGACGCTCATCATTGGTATAGTACCTATGTATGGGTGAATCTCCCGACCTTCGAACGGGATTTCATGAACCGATTTGATTATGTTCACCCTGAGCAGGCATTGTTCATGATCAAGGACCGATTTCAAAAACCGCTCGAATCCGTTGCAGAATATCGAAACCAGTTCTACAGGATGTTCGTAAAAACTGAGCGAGGTGAGCAAGTAGGGAGAGATTTGTTCATTGACGGACTACGCAGCCGAAGGATAAGGGCGAAGTTGCGAAAGCAATTTTCCCCCATCACTCATACGCTACAACAAATTATGGATGCTGCGGAAGAAATGGAACCGAAGTTCGCGGCGAACTTCATGGAAGGAGAAGACTACCCTAGAGACGGAGATTCGACCGAGCTCGCACGAGCGAGAGCAGAGCTGGCTGCCTTGCAGAACAAATTTGAAAACATGGGATTTGTATCAGGACTTGTCACCTATATGGAACCAATAGGCCCCAAACGAGTAATCCTAAGCGAGACTCCGAGCATCTCTGCTCCTATGATGCCCCCGCCCGTCAGGGCGTTACCACCGCCATCATCTGAAACTCCCGCACCAACAAATGAATCAGCGGCGATTTTCGAACTAACGAAAACCTTGATTAGTTTGATCCAAGAAAGCAAAAAGGAGCAGCGAGAGCACAATGCTCGGCTGGAAGCCATGATGAGGAAAATGCGGCCCATTGCGGTACGCGCCCCTCTGATGCAGCAAGGATTAACCCCGTCCCCTGCGCTCGGAGGAGTCGCAAATAATCTGAATGTCTGTTACGCTTGTCATCAGCCAGGACATCTAGCCCGTGATTGCCCCCACCGACCCCCGCAACAGCGAATTGGGGTCGCACCTATGGCTGCGGCTCCCATCACCAACGGACCTGGACGAGTCGGAGCCCTGATGGAAGAAGTAGAAGGTGGGGGAAGTGCCCTGGCCACCACGGTAGAGGCCGCCGAACTAATCCCGCTAGATCAGTATGTGTCGCTGGGATATCCTGGGCTTAGAATGATCGGAACAATCAGACCAGCGCCAGAACCAAAAGAGGTGGAGGAGTGGCGACCGTCCCTGGGAGAAATGGAGTCAGAGGACCCATGTTCGTCACGAGAGAGATCGATGTATTAAACATCGTCCGAGCCTTGGATCATCGGATTCCCCTTCCGATCGGTCATCTACTCTCGATCTTCGAGCAAGCCAACGAGCGAATGTTACAGCATTGCAAAGCGAATTGAAAGCGATTCACCCTTGCCCGAGCACCGAACGTAAAAGCCAAAGACCCCGCGCCGGAAGAAAACCCAACAAGCACTCCGGATCCGATACGAATAGGATTAATTCAAAAAGACGATCATTTCCTACGGATTAAACCAATTCCGTGGAAATCCGCAGAGTGCGATATAAAAATTTGGGGAATTCCTTACAACGCAATCATAGACTCAGGAACAACCGTATTGGCTATTTCACTTAGAGTGGTCGAAAGGGGAGGCAGGAAAAACGATCTGATCATGCTCACCGAGAAAGATCAGCTCGTTTCGGCAGATGAGGAAAAAATTAAAACTGTGGGGAGAATGACCAATGTCGCCTTCCGATTAGGAAAAGTACACGCTCTTGGGGATGTCGTAGTACTAGATGTTAATACATACAAAGTTCTTTTCGGACTTCGAGCTCTTGTGGCGTTACGAGCAAACGTGGACTTCGAACGACGATCGATCGTTCTCCGAAATACCGGAGGAAAACCCTACGACGTGCCCATGCGATTGACCCTTCGCACTACCATTAACACGGTCCTGCGGGTTTCGCCGATGATGGCAGGGACTCTCCGCATGATCTCCTGGGATGAATCCGCAGAGGGAAATTCATCAACTGATGATGCAGACAGCAGTGACGAAGATGATCCAGAGATCTTGAAATTAGCACGACAGCGCGTTTACTACCCGCCGCCCAAAACGATAGCGAGAACGATGCAACCGACCAGCCAAAAAATTCAAAGAACCAAGGCAATGATCTTGGGTGAGCCCCTCGTGCAGATTTCGAGGATGGTCGATTCTTTGGAACCCCCTCAAACTCTGTACGAAGGAATCACCGCTCTCCTCGCCCGGTATAGCGACAAAAAGCATTACTGTGACATTACGGATCTACCCAAGGCCTAATTAACATCAGCTAAAGAAGTGAGGTTGTTACGCTTGGGGGCGAAAGCAAGCTCTCTGGAACCCCCTGGGCATTTTGAAGCAGAAACAGGCGGGCTCGGGATAAAGATCGCACCTAAGGAAGTATCATGGCAGGATGTTTGTGACGGGATTACCCCGGAAGGACACGTGGCAATCCGAGAAGAAGATGCCCAGATGATGGCCACGGTGTTCTTCTGGCGATCGGATCATTCATTCATCTCGGCGCCTCCACCCGACTTGACAAAACAGGCGAACACGAAACAGATTGACGTTCGGATCTGGGACCAATTTTTAGAGTTGCACGTCCCACAATACGTGCCGGATGAAATCCACCGGGTAATTGCGGATATTCTAACGGAATATCAAGGAGCGATTAGTGTGTCAGACACCGACATTGGGTTGTCATTAGTAATCCAACATGAAATTCAGACCGGAAATCACTCCCCAATTCATTGCAAACCTTATCGCTATTCCTTGATTGAACGCAAAAAGGCTCTGGAACGAATTCGGGAGTTCGAAGCCAGCGGTTGGATTGAACCTGCTACTGAACCGTGGTCTTTTTCCGTAGTGTTAGTACCGACGAAGAACGAAGCGATTCGCATTTGCATTGATTATCGTAAGCTGAATGAAATCACGATCAAAGATGTGTATCCCCTCCCCCGGATTGATGATCCGTTGGATGCGATTGGATGCGCTAATTATTTCAGCAAGTTTGATATTCGGCATGACTTCCATCATATTCTGGTAAGGGAAGAAGATCGGCCGAAAATGCCCTTTGTGTTGTTTGAGGGCACGTAACAGTGGATTCGGTGTCCGATGGGGATTTGCAATGCGCCTGCCACGTTCCAGTGAGCGATGAACATGACATTCTAGAACTTCGTCAACAAGACACGGCTGACGCAATAAATGATTAACTTTTGCGTGATCGTGTATATGGACGACATCCTGGTCTATTCGAAAAGTTATCACGGGCACGCACAACACATCAAATGGACATTGGGTGCATTGAGAGACGTTGGGTTCAAGATTGCGCTTGAGAAGAGCGAATTTTTCCTCTCGAAAATTTCGTTCTTGGGCTATGTCGTGACACGTGGAGGATTGCGGCCAGACTCGAGAAAAGATGCTCCGGTTCCCACGTCACTGACGCAGGTTCGAGCCTTCTTGGGACTAGCGTCGTACTACCGGCGCTTCATCAAGGGCTTTGTCGCGATTGCACGACCATTAACGAATCTGCTACGGAAGGACCAGCCTCTCAGCTGGGACGTGGAGTGCCAGCAGGCCTTTGCAACCCTCAAGGACGCTCTAGCAACGGCCCCTATTTTGATTCGACCGGACCCCTCGAAGCAGTTCATTCTCATCACGGACTGACAACCAGAAGCTATTTCCGCTATTCTAGCGCAGAAGGGGAACGATGGTCGCGAACACATCATCGAGTATGCGTCACGAACCGTACCGAACGAACGAAGAAATGACTCCGCACCTCAGGGTGAGTGTTATGCGGTAGTTTGGGGAATCCAACACTTCCATCCGTATCTCTACAGACAGAAGTTTCACCTCGTAACGGATCACGAGCCTCTGCTGGCGCTGAAGAAGCTCACCAACTACACGGGCATGATTGGCCGTTGGGCGGTGCGACTACAAGAATACGACTTCGATATCGTCCATCGAAAGACAGAGCGACACGGCAACGCGGACGGGCTTACACGTCTGCATCGGCTTGCCAAGGTACCAAAGGTCGAGGAAGTTATACCGTGGAAAGAACCAGACTTGACTAACGAGCCGAAGTACGGACAAGTGGCAGTTCTCCCACGTGGCAAGAAGCAAAACGGTGGCGATGGGTGATGGAGGTAACCCCACTACCCCTCTTTCTCCCCCTTCCTCCTCGTCTCTCCTCTCCATGCCTGACAAATTTTGCTATTTTTGCGAAGCCATCTCCCGCGTCTATTCGGTCTCCATGCGTCCTAACGGGGTGGGATATGCAGATTGGATAGATTGCCAACAGTGTGTTGCACGGGCCCATGGCTCGTGCATCCAATACACGAACGATAGTAAACCATGGTTGTGCCACTTGTGCCGGACCGACAAAATTCCGACCGAGGCTCGCTTTTTGGATGCCACGTCAGAAGGATTGGAAAATACGCGAAAGTTTAGAAGAGCCGAAGTATGGACGGATATTTCCTTAATTGCCACCCTAGTAGGTACCCCCCTCCAGGATTTCACCAAGGAAGATCGGAGGAGGGCCAACGAAAGGGCTCGGGATTATCGATGGATAGAGGGTAGACTAGAAAAACGGAAAACGGACGGCAGTGGGATTTGGATGGTAGTGCCGCATCCGTTCATGCGGTATGACTGGGTTAAGACAGCCCACGAGGAAACTACGGCCCATTTTGCCGTACGAATCACGGAGTCCGCTATCGACAAAAATGAGTGGTACTGGTCCAATATCCGCGAAGATGTGAAGTACATCGTCGCCAACTGTCAAGTCTGCGCCGCTGATAAAGCGTCGTTTCAGGCACCAAGGTCGATAGTGCCCACGCTTGTTGAATAGCCATTTCAGAGAGTAAGCATGGACACTACGGACATAGTGGTGCCCCCTGGCCCTAATAGTTGCGAATATTCAGTCCTATTGGTATTTGTCGACCATTTCTCGAAATGGATCGAAGCGTATCCTTGTCGCACGCGGCAAGCCACGAAAATCGCACGATATGTCAACCATTTCCTCGGGATGCATCAAGATACGGAAGAGATCCTGACCGACAACGGGGCTGAATTCAGGGGAGAAGTGTTAAGAAATCTGGTCCTAAATGCGTCGCCATACGGAACACTGCACCCCACATGTCAGAATCCAATGGGCTGGTCGAAAACGCTAACCGGGTGATAAAGACAGCGTTGCGACGAAACATCGTGGCACGGGATCCGAGACCATGGCCCGATGTCGTCGATCACATCCTGGCGGTCCATCGTGGAACGCCCCACGAATTGGCGGGGTTGAGCCCCTTCCAATTAAGGACCAATAGTGTCATTTGCATTTCGATACCAAGCCTCCCGGATGAGTCGACATTGAACCGATGGCCCACCAGGGCTACCGCTCGGGACAAGGCTAAACGACACCTAGAGTTAATGGAACGGTCGCTGCCCAGGCTAGCCCGAAAGCGACAGAAAATGACCGAACTAGCCCAGGGCCAACAGGTCCGGAGCTACGAGGCCCGAAATGGGAATGCGGGTCCGCGGCCCCAATACAAATTGGGGAACGTGGTGCAGGTGAGGAAATGTGCTCGCCAGGGTAAGCAAGCGCCACGATTCTTCGTTCGATATCGTGTGATCGAGCTCGGCCCCAACGGCGTGGACACCGTGCGTCTCGCCCCTGAAGTCTCTGGCAGTCGATCGGCTCGTCCGATCACACGCCATGTGTCCTATCTTGGCCTACTTCCCTCTGCTCCGTCTCCCTCTCCCTCGATCTCTCTTTCTGAGGAAGCCGAGGACGGCGGCTCGGACTCTCCGCCATCTCCCTCCCTTTTTTGCTCCCTCTCTGCCACCCCGTCACCCCCGCCATCGCCATGAGTTTCGCCATCAAACGAGCTTTCAGTGATCAGTTGCTGATGCCACGGGGAGAGATCTCAGCCATCCGCCAAGTACATCATCCGCGGATCAGCCCCAACTTCATGCGCCTTGCGCAGTTCTTCTGCACTGCGGGTGTATACGGCGCGGCAGAGTTCCGATTCACGAGCAATCCCCAGGTAGTGGTGCTGGCCGAGGCAACGGCGTTCCAACGGCGAGCGGCCCCAGGAATCAGCCACGTGTCTACCGTGGTAGTCTTCAGCGGCGACATCACCGCCTTCGATCCGGCGCGACAAGCCGCCATCAAAAGCACATTGTATCGGTGGGGTCGCGATCTGGCCACAAATTGGGATCGACGGCTCACAAGGCACGGTGACGAGTGCTATCCTATCGACGGCATCAAAGTCAACACGCTAAGCACAACGCTACGCGAGCCACCTGTCGTCCTCCCCAAACTTGCTCCCTTCCAGCCGCGCAGATGAGCCGCACGCCGGTCTCGACGTTCTCTCCTCCTTCTCTCTTCCCCATCTTCTGGCAGTCCTCTCACTACCCTCGTCTCTCCTTCCGTCAGGAGCTGCTGACAGTACCCATCGTTGATCGAGACCATTGGAGGCTGTGGCGTGCAGAATTCGCCGAGCTCTTGTTTTGCCTGCTACGACTGGATCTGAACTGGACGAGGGAAGGCGATCAGAGACCCGCGTCGGAGATTGTGGAGTTGCTCGTCATTCGGGCGTGGAGGACCAACGTGGCGGGAGAACTTCTGGGATTCGTCTTTGGAGCAGTGGATTGGGGAAACCTATCATAGATCGTGCGCGAACTTAGAATCGTGATCGCACGATTGGCCGACGAACTCCCCCTCGATATCGTCTCTCAAAGCGACGAAGAACCCGTGCCACATACCCTCTCAAGGACTCTCACCCCGAGCCTCCAGTGGTCGGCTTGTATCGAGGAGCGCTGGGCGGACGGCCGTTTTCCCTCCTGTAGCGAGTACCTGGACGTCCACAGCCTAACTAATCCCCACTTCTTTTGGCAACCAACGACGTTCGAGTGGGCGGCGCTGAGAGCAGAAGAGGAGGTCGAAGAGGAATCGGAAGGAGAATTGAGGAGAGAGGTCGGGGAAGCAGCGGTCCGATCGGCCGAGGACGAGGAAGAAGAGCGTGAAGCAGAAGAAGAGTCGGCGGAAGCTGAAGAAGATGAAGAAGAAGAAGCAAAGGAGGAGACTTCGGAGGAAGAGGAAGAGGCCTATAGCGAGTACAGCAAGGGCGAACAAAGTGAGGAGGAGGACGAAGACGACGAAGAAGTGGAAAGCAGGGACGACCAGGAGCCAACGCACGACGAGCTCGAGTGGGTGCCAGGACCGGATCGGCGAGAGGAGAACCCGGAGGCTGCTGCGCAGCGCAAGAAAGAGATCGCGGAAGGAAAGAGGCTGGCGATCGATCCCGCACCGAACGATCTTTTCAAGGATCTCGATCCGCCCAAGCCGGAACATGGAGACCTTGCTGCTACAACCTCGGGAGACGCGACGACAAGGCGCCGATCTCAATCCCGATCCACGTGCCCCTCCGCCTCCGCCCGTCCCCCAATTCGTCAACTTGTCAATGAGGGGCTTAGCCCTTCGTCCCCGATCCATATACCACCATCCCATTAGCTATCTCTCTTTCAATCAGTATTTCCATCGCGTCGTCTACCTCCGTAATCCTTTCCCCATCGCCACCTTCTGACATTTCTACTTCGCCCGCCTAGAACAAACTGTCCACCCCCACCCTTTCGTTCGGTGTGTTGTCCCCAACTACTCTCTCCACGTTCTGCTCCTTAGCGCCTCGTGGCGAGGCCGTCACCATATAGAGGTTTACTGCATCGTTACGGGGACCTTCCCCGCGTGCGAGAACCATGATCGATTCTGCACAGACGTCCTCTGAACCCTCGTATCCCTTTACCCAGACTACCCCGTTTCCCTTCCGCGCAGCGGCCAGAGATTCCCCCGCTTCCATCGCATTGCCCATTTTTAATAACTTCCCTACGACCTCACTGCGATCGGGGGCTTCATACCCAAGCTTACGATGGAGCCGCCCCACCCTCCCTCATACGCGTATCGCCTTCCCTTCCCCCTTCCGGTTAATTACTGATCCAATGGTACTGGACGCGTGTCGCGGCGATGACATGAGAAAGATCCCGTCCTTGGATCGTCGAAGAGCCCAATCTAAGGAACTAGTTGAAGAGCAGATTTGCCACGTTGGATTACGTCCACACGCAATCGAACGGTAAGTGGCATACAGAGAATTGCTTCGCGTGTCGATCAATTAGAGAAATCGACACGTGTCAACAAGCAAGCAGGAGCTTGGTAATATTGGAACCCCCTGGGCGTCACATATATGACGAACCACTTTCTGTAATGCGCGATTTTCTGTGCGGTTGCAATGAGGGGTCCTAAGCTGGGAAGATTGGGCAAATTACGAAAGATCGGGATCGGTGGAGAATTGCATCAGTGTCCTCGCTTTTTCGTCCTTTTTTGTCGTTTCCTTTTCGAATGGTCGAGCACGGGGTCGGGTGTGTCTTGGGACGGCCGGTTGATTGATTGGTCAGATGGTTGTCTGGCGCGATGCCACGCGCGCGCGCGATTAATAAATGTTGATGTCGTTTCTTTCGTTTCGGTTTCGATCTTTTGGGCGTGGACATCGCGCGGGAAATTGCTTCGTTCTTTTGAATTTTTCCTTTTAGTCTTTTTTCGAATTTTGTCGAGCCCCCCCCCTCTCCCGATGGCTCTCCGAATTTTGGACTTTCCTTCTGGAATTTATGCTTTTTGCTTTCTCACATTAGATAGGAATTTAGGAATTAAGTAATTAGGACTTTTTCTGCCGCGCGGCGTCTTTTGTCTACGCGCTTCTTCATGCGGCTGCAACGGTACTCTGATTTGTGGGCGCCCTTAATCGTGTGTGTAACTGTAATTTTGGGCGGGCGCCATTGTAACTGTATCTTTCTTCTTGCACTTCGTCTCTCCCGCCCTCCCT